AGGTGTTTAGGATTATTTAGTGGATTTGATCTTGTTTGGCTAAGAAATGAAACAATAAAATGGGTAATTGGGCCAAAAATTAAAAAATTAGAAATGAAACAAATTATTAGGCCAAAAATTTGGATTTAGAAATCGTTAATTTATTTAAAAAAAATTAAAATTAAAATAATTTGATATACTAAATATAAAAAAAAAATTAGGAAGATTCGGTTCTTCGGTTCTTGGTCTAGAACCGAGAACTGAACCGTACCCGTCGGTTCTTAATTCAGATATCCGTTCGGGTATTTAATTTGACAAGAACCGTCGGGTTCGATTCGATCGGTTCGGTTCGGGAGATTTGCCCAGCCCTATTATTTCCCATCATAGGACAAGATCCATCTTGACAGCAGCAAGTTTTGTGCATTTCTTGTTTGTGTTGAGATTTTTCGAATATTTATCTTCCTCTGTTTTTGTGTTCTTATGTTTTTCCTTTTGGTCTTTTGTAGATTGTGGCTCGTATGATCCAATACTGAACCCTTTTTGCTAATTTTGCATGAATAAGCTTGATGATTGTACCTAGATCCACTGTTCTCATTACTTGATTTTGGGAGGTGATTCATGGATAAAATATGGTGATTGTGGTGTCTTCATAAAACTGTTTTATGATCATAATTTTAATTTATATAAAATTGTGGGTAATTAAGTCATTCTACTTAGGGTCATTTAATTAAAATTGTAGTGTAATATAATTACCCTCCCTAGTTTTCTTTTCTTTTGTTCCATCTCTTTACCAAATTTACATTAAGAAAGAGGTCAATTGAGAATTTCAAAGATTTTTTGGGATTTAACAAGTTTATGAGCATTTGATCTAAATTTTTAGAAAATCTCTAAAAGTATTGAGATATTCAATTTAGACTTTTATAGAGTCTTTAAAAGCTTGGGTATATTTATGAGCACTTATTGAAGTCAAAGATTTGTTGCATTTATGAGCACTTAAATTGGCAACCTAAATTTGTCCCATTGAAGTCACGAATTTGAATTGCTAAACAACGCGCCTTTTTTTTATCCCTTATCATGTGTTCATAATTGAACATCAGACAACTGAAAGATTTCTCATGAAAGACATTCCTAATGTTAGCAAATGAAATATATTGAAATGGTAACTTGGATGTTTGGAATTGGAGTAATATCCCTAAAATAAAAATATTTATATTTCCAGTTCCTAGGAATCAATTTTTTGCCATCAAATGTTAGATCACTGGTAATTTCTTAGCAGAACTTAATGTGTGAAGTAGAAAAGAAAATGATAACCATAATATAGGAAGTGAAAACAAAAAAGCAGCTTACAGAACTATAGAAAGAGTATTATCTCCTTGCACCATGTTCCTCTGATTCTTCATAAATTTCACCCTCCTCTTGTATGCTCAACAAGGTTGCATGCATATAGTAAGCATAATTGAAATCGGTTTCTTGTTTACTCACCGCCATTGCCCCGTCTGAATCAAGCTGCAACTGGAGAGAATACTCTAGATGCCGAAGAACTGATCCCATTGAAGGGCGATCGATACTACAATCAAACAAGCATTTGCCTGCAGTTTCTGTAAAGTGCTTCAAGCAATCACTTGTAATCTGCCCTTTAATACGCGGATCAATTATTTCTTCAAGTGTCTTCCTCCTAATGTTTATGAGTGCCCAGTCTGCTAAACTCACTTGGTCTTTCGGAAGAGTGGGAATAATTGCTGGTCTTCCACATAAAACTTCAAAAAGTACAACTCCAAAAGAATATACATCAGATTTTTCTGTCAACCGCTGTCTGCGGAAATACTCAGGATCTAAGTACCCAAAACTTCCTTTGACCATTGTACTAACATGGGTTTGATCGAGAGAAGGGCCAGTTTTAGATAGGCCAAAGTCGGAAACTTTTGCAACCCACCTTTCGTCCAACAGAATGTTCGTAGTTTTAACATCCCTATGGATGATAGTGTACTTTGCACCTGTGTGAAGATAGTGAAGGCCCCTGGCTGCACCTATGCATATATCCAGTCTTTGTTTCCAACACAGAGGAGGCTTATCCTTGTTGTATAAATGCTCCCTCAATGTCCCGTTAGCCATGTAGTCGTACACTAAAATCATTTCATCATTTTCTTCACAAGCCCCAATTAGAGAGACTAAATGGCGGTGTCTTAGCTTTGAAAGTAAATCAATTTCAGTTTCGAATTCATGAACACCTTGTTCAGAAGATGGATTTGCTCTCTTAATGGCGACTGCAGCACTTCCATCTATATAGCCTCTATATACCTTACCAAATCCTCCTACTCCAATAACATTAGTTTCGTTAAAATTGTCGGTTCCTAGTTTTATCTCAGCTAACGTGAAGTGCCTGCAAAGGTGTCCACCCATACTAGATATCCGGCTGCTTCCAATAGTCTTACTTGAGGTTCTAGTACCGAAAGATAGAGAGTAGCGGTAGATTGATGGCCAACGGCTGGTGCTTGAACCTCCTAAATCGACCCTTCTTTTCCTGCAGATGAGAGGCATAATGAAACCAAACATGAGACCAAATCCAGCAATTACTCCTAGAACTGAACCTATTATTATGCCATGATTCTTGGACTTTGATTGGGAAAATGGCTGCCTCTGCGTTGACATGGTCTCAAGTTTCAGAGGCAATGGCATCGGATTGGGGCCTGCTAGATTCTGCATTATGTCGTTTAACTTAAATATTTCTAATCCATTTAGTATTGCATCATAAAATTCAGGTTTAGATGTCACATTAGGATGCAAAGCCACCCATAATCGATCATCGCCACTTTCACCATTAATGTGTATTGCGTAATCCTTGTGGACCGGCACACCTTTTCCTTCACCCCAAGCGATAACATCTGCTTCTGGAAATGCTGTCTGGTTGTTAATGAAAATTGCAAATACCCTCTGATTTACCTTCGAGAGTTGATACTCGCAAAAATGTAATCTCACAAGATAAGTAAAATTTACATCGATTTGGAACTCCCAGGTGAGATTATAATTTATGTTAACCGTCGAATTAGGCCCCATGCTTCGTGCTGTGCTATAAACATCGAGAGGAGCAATATACTTTTCGACATCAGAAGAATGTGCAATTCTTACATTCTTATCAGCCTCTGAGGTGACACCCATGGCTGCACCGTATATATAAGGGGCATCATCATACCATGTTCGGCCATAACCCGAGTCATTACTTGGTGGAATATGGTTACCACCAATATTCAGTCTAAACATTGTCTGCATAGTACAAGATTCTGTTTCCATTTGCTGGTCTGAAAATCCAACCATAGGTGCGGGTTGGAAAATTTCCGGAACTGGAATAATCTCAATGCCATTGACAAAAGCAAAAGAGTCATTATGTGTGGATGACGGTGTGAAGGTGAGATTGAGGGTACCTGATTTTATGGGTATCATAGCGAATTCTCTGATTATATAAGCCTGTGTAAGTGCTTCAACAGTAATGGATGCGCTGAAATTGTCAAGAAGAGTGAAACCACCAGCAGTTACTGAGAAAAAGGCTTTTGAGGAATCGAAGACAACATAAGATGATGGGTAAAAATGAAGTCTTATCCAGTATCGGAACATCGGAGAAACAAAAAATTTATACATGGATTCAGATTTGAAAAACCTAGCAGTCATGTATGGAATAGTAGAAGGCAGTGCAGGATCTTGAGACTGAGCAATGGCGGATGCTGAGTTCTCCGAAGAGATGAGATATTTGGTATCTGGAATCCATTTCCTGCCATTTTCTTCGGTGGCATCACTTGAAGCACCACAGGCCAATACAAAGGATTGAGCATTTGAAGCAGAATTATTAGTATTGTCTTGTGAATGAACTCTGTTTACAATACAAGAATATATAATGGCCCAAAAGAAGACGGTAATGATATTACACTCCATAGCCTGATACAAGTGTCCTTTTGAGGGATTAAACAGAAAGCCAGCCCTGTAAAAATAAAAAAAGAACTAACTGAAAGTAACGCACCATATTAAATGATGCTGATATTTGGGCATTGATTGAGCAATTACTCCTCTTGCCGTTAAATTGAATTCCTACCAGAGGGGGAATTGGACCGACCAAAATAAACCAAGAATTTCATTTCTTAATTCTCATTGACAAATGAAGCCATTTGATTTTATGATGAGAAAAAAGTCACCCTGACATTATTTATGTTCAGAATTATTTCCCCTTTCTATCATCGCCTCCAAATGATTTCATCAATTATTAGTACTCAGGACTAAAGGCTATAATTTCCGTTGTAAATTGAAACCAGACCATTTTTAGGGATTTAGTTTGGCCACTCTCAGCCCATAACGTTGCTGCAAAATATTGAACTACGATTTGGTAGGGTGCACCAGGCCCAAGCAGCAGTGCAACACCAGGGCCATGCCTGAGAGCCCCAATAGCAAGCTACTGGAATGGGCTCTGCCCCTTAAAAAATTAATTTAATATCTTGTGAGCCAATGGCCCACATATCAGATATTAAACTGATAAGAATAGATACTGTTACGTCCCTCACCAAACCATTTCCGCACATCAGATCCACTCCTCTACGAGGCACCACGTGTCCCTACGAAGTGGTTTCGAAGCGATGTCAACCTCGGTCGAACTCCAACTTGACGCACTACAAGGCACATACATCACTCCCTAAATCTACTGAAGCGACCGAAGTGTCCCCCTGAAACCGAAGCGTTGAGCACTTCGAGGTGCTTCCTTAACAGATCCCTCCGTCACCAGTTTCAGAATATTTGGGTCAGGATCCTCTATCCCCATGGATTAATTGATGTGACATATCTATAGATCTAGTTGATGTGACATATCAACTTTATGTCAATTCAACTCAGGAGAATTAATTATCCGCCTACTCAATACGCGGTTGATTGATGCCTACGAGTAGACATCTCACATCGTCAGATGCATACACGTGTTCCACACCCAAAGGTTTGGCTAGAGACAAAGGTAATGAAACTCATATTAGACTTAGCTCTCCACACTTAGAAATATTTATTCTCCTCTCCACTCTCTTGCACAATTTGAGCACAGTTCCGATTACCGATCACCGACTTGACCGTCAGAATATGCCGTCGCCACCATCCCCATTGGTTCCAGCAATGTGCTTCTGACCGTTTGTTATTGTGCGCAGGGAAGATTACGTGGGGTGGTTATCGGTTGGCCATGTAGAGGTTCCATTTCGCGAGGTCAACAAATTGGCCCCGCCCATGGGAATATTTCTGTCCAAGAGTTTTCCATTTACCATTAGAAAAGCCATCGGAAAACCATCGACTTACCCTGAAAAGGACGTTCTTGAAAAAAGATTAAGTCAACCTACAATCCAAGTTCCTAACACCCTTGAAAAAGGAGAGAAGTAAATAAGTTACAATAATGAGGAAGCAAATCTCAAACTTAGGGGCGCCTCTAAAGAAGAGGTACTCCGAACAAACATCAAGCACCGGAGACCCCATCACTGGCGTCGTCGGGTGATAGAACAACAGCACTCACTGAAAGAATAGCTAAGATAGTTGCAGGCATGAGAGACATTGTGGTTTAGAATATAGGCGGGAGAGGAGAAACCAAGTGTACTAGGGCAGTCGAGGAGGGGCACCTCCACCACCCCACAATGCGTCAGAGGGGGAAGGCTTTGAAGGGCCATGTCGCTCTTACGAAATTGATGATGATGATGATGACAACCTCCATTTCTCCAAAGAAATCCGAAACTTCTCAATGCCTGCAAACTTCATGCTTCCTAAAATCCCTAAGTATGAGGGAAATGTAGACCTACAGAAACACCTCACCAAGTACATGACGCAGATGAGCCTCGTTGGCACTAAAATGCAGGGCCTTTCACCTGACACTTACTGGAGCTGTCGAGGTTTTGTACGGCAGGCTACCACCTCTGAGCATTAGAATATGGCCAGATTTGAAGAAAGCATTCCTGAACCAGTACCTCTCACGAAGAGAAGAAGAGACCCCAGTGCAACGTTTACAAGATATGAGGCAAATTCCTGGGGAGACGCTGAAAAGCTATCTCGCCAGGTTTACTGATGAAATCACATACTGCGAACAAGTCACTGACAAAGAGGCTCTTTCAGCCTTGAAAAAAGGTCTTAACATGAATACTTTGTTCTGGAGAGATGTGCGTAGCAAAAATCCAGCCACTTATGACGAACTGGTAGAGATGATGAGAGTGGGGATTGTCAATGAAAAAATGATTAACCATCGAAACCGTATGGCTTAGGGACTCTCCCCGCCTCAGAGGCAGGTAGGTCGACGACCGGCAGCACACCTCATCACCTAGCAACGGACCCAGGTAGGGTACACAGTAGCTCCCACATCCGGATAAGCGTTAGCTTCAGCCAAGCTAAATGCAGTACCGATATTGGCATATGAAAATGCAACTGCCAAAGCAGGACCATCAGGAGGAACAAGCAGCAACCAGCACAAGAAGAAGAAGCTATCAAACAGACCCCTAGAAGGGGCAAAGTTTTTCACATTCTACCAACTTTATGGCCACAACATCAGCGAATGCAGGGATGCTCCTCAATCTTCAAATCGGAGTAACCCACACTCCTTCAGAAGGGATCACTATCATGAGTTCCACCGTAGATCCACCTCTCCCAATAGGGAAGGAGACGACAAAGGGATCAGTCACCTCGAAGGAGAAAAACGAGGGATAGAGGATAACCCACCCTCTGAAGGGCAAACTATCAGGGAGCTTGATATAATTATCGAAGGACCTCACATAGGGGGCAACAACAGGAACATTCAGAGAAACTACACAAGAGAAGCAAATGATTCACCAATGATTACTTACATTGTCAACTAGTCCTAAGAAGCCAACAGGATGGCCACAATAACTTTTTCCTAAGAAGATGCACAAGGTGTTCATCACCGCCATTACGATGTTTTGGTAGTAAGAGCAGTAGTGGTTTGCAACTGGCTCAAACGCATGCTTGTTGATAATGGGAGTTCGGTGAACATTCTGTTCGGATCAACCTTCGACAAAATGCAGATTGAACATGGCTTGATCCCCATGACCGACCCACTATTTAGATTTACTGGCGATAGCATTGTCCCATGAGGGCGAATCACCCTACTTGTTGAGATAGGATCAGCACCTTTGGTAGCTCACTGCTTCATGGAATTCTTGGTGGTAGACCATAGATTAGCCTACCACGAGATACTAGGACAACTTGTCCTAAAGGATCTTTGGGCTGTCACCTCCATCCACTACTTGTGTATGAAGTTCCCAACTGAACATGAGATTACCACAGTTCGAGATGACCAGATGGGCTCAAGAGCATGTTACCTCAACTCTTTGCAAAAATTCGAGCCTCGCACTGTTAATGTGATTATAATTGATCTAGCAGGTGAAGCTGACACAAATATAGAGATGCTTGATGCCCCTGAACAAGGGCATACCGCCGAGTAGAAAGAAGACGTCGACATGATCGAGACCCTTGAAGAAGAGCACCCTTTTAATGAGTTGGATCCTCGAATAATCGAGTCTGAACCAAATGCAACCCCAATGGAAGAACTTGAAACTTTTCCCACCAATCCTTAAGACCCCACGCAGGTCTTGCGAATAGAAAAAATGCTGCATCCTGAAATGAGAGAGAAACTGATGAATTTTCTGAAAAGAAACTTAGATGTCTTTGCTTGGAAGTATGAAGACATGGTGGATATAGACCCAAGGGTCAGTTGACACCATCTTAACATCAATCCCACCTATGCCCCACATCGACAGAAGAGACGAGCCCTCAATCCCGAGTGATATGAGGCACTCAAAGAAGAGGTCGACAATTGAGCCGCACTGACTTCATCAGAGAAGCCATCTATCCGAAGTGGATATCCAACTCAGTCCTTGTGAAGAAGCGGGAAATGGAGGGTATGTGTTGACTTTACCAATTTAAATAAAACATGTCCAAATGACAGTTTCTCCCTCCCAAGGATTGACCAACTTGTGGACTCCACTGCTGGACATAAACGCCTAAGCTTCATGGACGCTTACTTAGGGTATACTCAAATACCCATGTTCTGACCTGATGAAGAGACTGCATCGTTCATCATATACAGAGGATTGTATTGCTACAAGGTGATGCCCTTCGGATTGAAAAATGTCGGCGCTACGTACCAGAGGTTGGTCAACATGATGTTCGCCGACGTCATTGGCAAAAATATGGAGGTCTATGTTAAAGACATGCTGGTGAAAAGCCTCTACGCTAGGGATCATGTAGGTCACCTCAATAATACCTTCAAAACTTTAAGGAAATATAGAATGAAGCTGAACCCATTGAAGTTCACCTTTGGGTTAGTATCGGGACAATTTTTGGGCTACATTGTGGACCAAACATGAATTAAGGCAAACCCACAGAAGATAAAGGCCTTATTAGAGATGAGATCACTGCAGAAGCCAAAATAGGTACAAAGCCTCAATGGACGAATTGTCGCACTTAGTTGCTTCATTTCCAGGGACACTGATAAGAGCCTATCCTTCTTCAAGGTCTTGAAGCAAGGAAAGTCCCAATGGACGGACGAGTGTGAGTTAGCTTTCCAAGCACTGAAGAAGCACTTAGGAGAGGCATCCCTACTATTGAAGCCCAAACCATATGAGCCACTTCTACTATATTTGGCAGTTTCAGATGAAGCATTCAGT